GATCGAGTCCCCCCCCCGCTGTGTGCGTGGACCTCGCGAAGGCCTCGCGAATGAGATCACTTCCCCCCCTCCCTGTGGCCGTGGCCCTGTGGGCGTGGAAGGTGGAGGGTGCCAGTGCACCCCTCCCCTCCCCCTGTGGGTCTGAGCTGATTCGTCGTCGTCGCCGTCGTCGTCCGTCGGCGTCGGCGGCTTTGGCGTCGGCGTCGGCGTCGGCGTCGGTGGCATCGTCATCGTCGTCGTCGGCGGCGGCGTCGGCGTCGGCGTCGTCGTTGTCGTCGTCGCCGTCGTCGTCGACGTCGTCGACGTCGACGTCGACGTCCGCGTCGTCGTCGTCGTCGTCGTCGTCGTCGTCGTCGTTGGCGTCGGCGTCATCGGCGTCGGCGTCGGTGTCGGCGTCGGCGTCGGCGTCGTCGTCCCCCCCATCCCATCTGGGTATGGGGGGACTGTGTAACCCTGGGGGGGGAGCCTGCGGCTTCGCCATCGGGGGCCCACCGACGATCCACTGACGATGCATCGCCGATTCGAGCTCGATCTTTCTCCCCCCGAGGTGGTCCCCCCTTGCGTTGACCTTCATGTGGTCGGAGGGGCGAGGAGAGGGTGAGGAGGGTGATGAGATCGAGGGCGGCCAAGAGGGGGGTGAGGACTGGGGGCGTCCAAGGCTGGTTGTCGGTGGTTCTCGTCGGTTCTCGCCTCGGGATGCTTTCCATCAGTGCTGCCGCGGTGCTCAGATCATCCCGAACGACATGGCTCGGGCCATGACATCTCCCCGATGTCATGGCCCCCTCGTCTCATTTCAATACTTCCCCTGATACCCTCCTCGCTCGCGCACGTGCTTCGGGACAAGATGTGTTGCCATCCCCTCTTGGATCCCCCCCCTCCTGGAAGCCCCCAAATGATAACCCTGGTCTTCCATCCAGAGGGGCTGAAAGACCACACCAGGAACGTCGAGTGTCAGATCGAGTCGAGGTCGTATGCAGTCGCGGTAGGTCTGTAGGAAAGGTCAGGGAGTGAGGAACGAGGAGGGGCGAGTCATGAGCAGGATGAGTCGAGAAGGGAGGAGGGGCGAGGAACAGGGAGTCGGCCGCGCGCAGAGGGGCCTCGGGAGAGGGGGAAGGCTTCTTAGAAGCACCCCTGCTTCCTCGAAGGCGCGGGCCTCGTCTACAGATGTAAGGCCGGCGATGTAAGGCCGGCGCCTCCCGAGAAGCAGCCTCCTCTTAAGAAGCCTTCCCCCCTCCCCTTACCCCCTTGTGTTCGGGTGTTGCTAGGAGGAGGAGGAGGAGGAGGAGGAGGAGGAGGAGGAGGAGGAGGAGGAGGAGGAGGAGGAGGAGGGGGAGGGGAGGGAGGGAGGAGGAGGAGGAGGAGGAGAGGAGGAAGGGAGGAGAGGAGGAGGAGGAGGAGGAGAGGAGAAGGGGCGGAGGAGGAGGAGGAGGAGGAGGAGGAGGAGGAGGAGGAGATGGAGGAAAAGGAGTAGGAGGGTGTCCCTGGCCCAAGGTGTCCCCAGGATTTCCAGGGATGCACCACGGCCTCCAGAGTACCCCCTCACGAGGCCCAGAGGTCCAAGGGGGGATTTAGAGGGTGACCTCGGGCCAGGGGTAGCTTTAGCAACCCCCGACTTCTGCGCGCCGCCAAGGAGGGGAGAGGAGGAGGGAGGACGACGGACGAGCCGAGGATCCGGGTTTTGTGGCGTCCGGCCCTCTGGGGGGAGCCTCAGCGGGCCTCCCCTCCGCGGAACTCTCGGGGAACTCCGGACAAGAGGGGGAGGAGGAGGAGGAGGAGGAGGAGGAGGGGGAGGAGGAGGAGGAGGAGGAGGAGGAGGAGAGGGAGGAGGAGGAGGAGGAGGAGGGAGGAGGAGGAGGAGGAGGAGGAGGAGGAGGAGGAGGAGGAGGAGGAGGAGGAGGAGGAGGGGAGGAGGAGGAGCAGCAGACGGAGGAGGAGGAGGAGGAGGAAGAGGAGGACGAGGACGAGGAGGACGAGGAGACGGAGGACGAGAGGACGAGGAGGAGGAGGGAGGAGGGAGGAGGGGAGGAGGAGAGGAGGAGGAGGAGTTGGAGGAGGAGGAGGAGGAGGACGAGAAGGACGAGGAGGACGAGAGACGAGGGGAGGAGGAGGAGGAGGAGGAGTTGGAGGAGGAGCAGACGGAGGAGGAGGAGGAGGAGGGAGGAGAGGAGGAGGAGGAGAGGGCGGAGGAGGAGACGAGGAGGACGAGGGAGGAGGAGGAGGAGGCTTGGAGGAGGAGTTGGAGAAGCAGGAGGAGGAGGATTGGAGGAGGAGGAGGAGGAGGAGGAGGAGTTGGAGGAGGAGTTGAGGAGGATGGAGGAGGAGAGGAGGAGGAGGAGGAGGAGGGAGGAGGAGGAGGAGGAGGAGGAGGAGGAGGAGGCGGAGGATAAACAAGAGGAACACGTGTCGTCGGGTCTTACCTCTACCCTGTAGGAGAGTCGCGCCAAGGCATGCTTGAGGAGGAGAAGGAGGAGGAGGAGGAGGACCAGTGTAAGCCTAAGAGTCATCAACGATGCTGGAATATCCCATCCCTCTAAGCTCCCCCTTCATAGGCCTCTACAACGGCTCATTTTCATTAAGGGAAGTGCCTCGTTGGAAGACAACCGTTCGAAGACCTTGAAGCATGCCAAAGCATGTTTCTCGGGATTCTAACACCACGGATCAACCTGACTGAAGCCTCAGGCAAAACGCCCGGACCGCCCTAAAATTTGGCCTCGGGGTGCGACAGGGATAAGGTTTTTCCTTTTAAACAAAAGGAAAAGGAATGGAGGAGGAGCAGGAGGAGGAGGAGGAGGAGGAGGAGGAGGGGAGAGAGGATGATGCGGAGGACAAGAGGGAGCGGTGAGGATGGGTAGAGACGAGGAGGGTAAGAGCGGAGGTGGAGGAGGGAGGAGGGAAGGAAGGCATGGCGTGAGCAGGAAGGACCAGGGGTAAGGGGGGCAGGAGGAAGAGTCCGAGTTGAGGGAGCACGATGGAGGAGTGGGAGCGGGAGCGGAGGTGAGAGGGGTGAGGGGATAAGGTGAGGAGGAGAAGGAGGAGGATGAAGAGGTAATTAGGGGAAGACCCGGAGGAAAAGATGGTGGTTGAGAGTTTCTGATAACCGAGAGGAGGAGAAGGGTGATCAAAGATGTTCGAGCCACGGGGCATGTTTGCCTGTACGCAAGACTTGCAGATGAAGAAGTGGGATTGTCACCCCATGGCGAAGATTCGGTGCATTTGTTCCACGATGTGTACGTAACATCCGAATCCAGTCAAAAACAAATTCTCATTCGGAATATCTCATCAATCGAGGGCGCCATCTGTTATACAGTCGGACCGAGGTATAAGATCGAGGTCGGTTCGGGGAGGGTACCCTAGTCTTCTTCGTGTTTGCAGAATGTTGTTGTGCATCCCGGGGAGGGCACCCTCGGATATTCTGTGTGTTTTGGCCGGCGGAGGCTCTCATGTTCTTGAAGAGTGTTCTTCTGGCTCAGGCCCGATGGAGATCCCTCTTGGTCTCAAGGCAGCACCTCGGCAGCATGATGCTCCCGTCAGTGCCGCGCACAGCTCCACCTCGGCTTGGTGCGCGTTGCCGCCTCAACCCCAGCGCCTCGGGCCGAACGAAAGGGGGGGATAGGGAAAGGGGGGGCTACGAAAACTGCTGCACGCAGCTGGTTTCGGCCCCGCCGCCACGCCCACTCCTCGATACGCGGGCGCCTCCCCCCGGCGCCGGGAGGCGCTGGGAAAATCAGCTACGTGAACTGAGTCTCTACCCTGCGCTTTGCTGTCCCCCCCCTTCCGTTCTTCCCGATCGATGCCTCGAGGCGTCGGTGCACGGAGGGCCGCACGAGCGACCGACGCCTGCTCGAAGGACGGTCGACGAGGCATCGGCGACGGCCGCGCCGCGCCCTCCCCCCCCCCCCCCCGAGCTGCGCGGCGCGCACGCCGAGCTCGCGGCCGCGCGCGACGAGCTCGAGGCGCGCCCCCCCCCCTGCGTTAGGGGGCCACATGCGAACCCTACCCCCATCCCCCACGATTTCTGAGGGGGAGGGTGGGGTTTCACTTCGTTCGCGAGCTCCCGAGCGAAGTGAACCCCACCCTCCCCCTCAGAAATCGTGGGGGATAGGGGTGGGGTTCGCATGTGGCCCCTATGCGTGCGCGGCCCGCGCGCGCGGTCTGCTCGGGGCCCCAGCTCTGGCGGGCCTGGTGCTCCGAGGCGGAGGAGGGTGCCCATGCCGTCGTGTTTCCACTGTTGGGGGCCTCCGGGGAGGCCGTCGTCGCCACGGCGGGATTCGTCTCGAAATTCTGGCCGGAACGCACCCCGGAAGAGGTCTGGGGAGCAGCGGTATCGGTACCTTTTGATTGAATTCCCCAGGTTCTAGGCCTCCCAGATGGGGTCCGAGTAGACGGGGTCGGAGGATCGCGCCGCATCGCCGATGCATCGCCGATGCGGTTCGATGTGGAGCCCGATTTGCTTCACGTTGACGTCGCCGGTGCATCGATGTATCAGCGATGCGGCGCGATCTCCCGACCCCATCTTGGAGGCCTCTACAGGTACTAGGGCCACCACGAGAATGTGAAGTTAGCCTCGCTTCGCGGTCTGGGTGGCCGGGCCGGGGGAGGTGGCCGCGGCCGAGGGAGGTGCACCCGCAGGCTCCCGTGCTTCACGTCGTGGCCGTGTTGAGAACCCTTCGGATCCTGTGACGGGCCTCTTTTCCACCACCACCAGAAGTTGGAGGGGGGAAGGAGGTGGAGGATGAGGAGGAGGAAGAAGAGGAAGAGGAGGAGAAGGATTATGAGGAGGAGGATTATGAGGAGGAGGAGGAGGAGGAGGAGGAGGAGGAGGAGGAGGAGGATTATGAGGAGGAGGAGGAGGAGGAGGAGGAGGCCCACCATCCTGGCCCTGGCCTTCTTTCCCCGCACTCCTCGGCTCTGCGCCGCCCGTTTCCAGCTCTCCCTGGCCGCGTGCCCCCCCCCCCCGGCACCTCCGCCCGCCAGCCGCGCCCCCGCGGCGCCAAGGGAGGATGACCGCCGCCAGCAGCAGCAGCACCGGTGGGGCCTTCGACCCCTTCGGAGACCCGGCCGCCGGCTGCGAGCCGTACTGGTACCAAGGCTACCCCTCGGCGTACTACGGGCAGTCGCGGGCTCGGCCTTGGAGCACGGGGACAGGGGGGTGAGGCATCAGTCGGGCCGAACGAAAGGGGGGGATGGGGAAAGGGGGGGATACGAAAACTGCTGCATGCAGCTGGTTTCGGCCCCACTGAGGGGCCCATTCCTCGATACATAGCCGCCTCCGGCGCCAGGAGGCGCCGGGAAAATCAGCTACGTGAGCTGATTCTCAAACAAGCCCCCCCTTTGCTATCCCCCCCTTTCGCCCGACCCGAATCAGGATGATGTCGTCCGTTTTGGGGCTCCCGCGGCCTTCGCTAGGGGAACAGAAAGTGGCATAAACATAACAACTCGGAGGTCCGCGCGGATTTCTCGGATCGGCGCTGGGGCCCCCCGGCGGCGCCTCTGGCGCCGCCCCTGGCGCGCTCCGCGCGCCAGGGAGGGGGGTCCAGCGCCGATCCGAGAAATCCGCGCTGACCTCCGAGTTTTTATGTTTATTCCACTTTTTGTTCCCCTATTGGCGGGGCCCAGACGACTCGAGATGAAAAGGTTGTCCTGGGGACATCCCTGGGGTCTTGGGCCCGCTGCCGCCAAGACCCAACTCTTCGATGCTGAGGGGGGGAGGGGGGACCGCGGGGTTGCGTTGCATCTTCGGGGGGCCCTGCCTGTCCTGTACATGACAGTCTGTCCTGATGTGCGGCGTGGGTTCGACGCGGACTCGGCGTGGATCCGACGCGGATTCGATGTGGACTCGACGTGTTCGACATGCATTCGACGCGGATTCGGCGTGGATGTCGGCGCGATGGTACAGACGTTTTTTTTATTTTTCTTCCGAAGATGCAGCGCGAGCGGGGGGGATGACGCCGTGCAGCCGACCCCAAGAAGAGGAACGAAGTCAACGGGTGAGGCTTTTGGGGTCTCCTCCTCCTCCTCCTCCTCCTCCTCCTCCTCCTCCTCCTCCTTCTCTTAGGGGACCCTCTGGGGGCCTCTTTTTAGGCCTCTTGGGGGCCGCTTCGGGTCACTTGGGAGTTTCCGGGCGCCTGCTGGCGGTCTCGGGGGTCCTCTTGGGGCGGAGCGCTCGACATGTCACTTCGAGGTACTTTTCTTGGTTGGAGCTTTCGACGGCTAAATCGGGCCGTCTTGGGACCCTCTTCGGCCGTCTTGGGGCCCGAGCTTCTTGGGCCGTCTTGGAGCGATCATGGGAGCCTCTTGAGCCGTCTTGGACGCTGTTGAGACCAAAAATGCGAATAGATCCAAATCATATTTTGTCCACAGTGATTTCGACGAGTCTTGCATCTCGGGGCCCTCTCGGGGGTCGTCTTGGAGCCCGCTTGGGGTGTCGTTGCGGCCTCTTGGGCAGTCTTGAGACTATCTTGGTCGTCTGCGAGGACTCCTGTGCGTTTTGGAACCCTGCTTGAGCGAGCGTAGACCGATTCTTAGGCATCTCAGAGGCCACAGAGTGTAGCGGTGGAGGCTCCGGAGGCCCCAGGGGAGCGGTGGTGAACTCGGAGACCCATTCACCCCCCCTGGTCCTCCCCCCCCCGCCCCCCCCGCCAGCGACTGCCCCCTCTCTAATCCGATTTCAGACCCCAGGAGGGGGGGGTAAAGAGAAGGGAGGCAGTCAGTCATCTCACATGCCTTTGCACCCCTGGCAAGCGGGGTTCGGCGGATTTGAAAGGGATGAGGGCGAAGAAAAGCCAGTTGGCTGGAATGCGATGAGTCCATCTATCCGTCCATCCATTTTTGTTTCTATATATATGTATATATCGATCAACCTATATATACATATATATATATGTGTGTGTATATACATATATATATATACATATATATATATATATATATATATATATCCTATATAGTTATATGTATGTGGATATACACACACATATATATATATGTATACACTGGAATACGGGGCGGGGGCCTCCGGGGCCGGGGCCTCGACGGGGGATGGGGTCCACGGCTCGCCGGAGCCGTTCGGGAGGAGGCCCGGGCGGTTCCGAGACGCGCCAGGATCCCCCCGAGACGTGCCCAGCGTGGTCCACGACGGCAGCCGCTCGTCGACAGATCGCCCCACGACGCCCAAGATGCCTCCCAGGGAGCCTTACAGGCCGCCAAGACGCCCAAGAAGGCCCTCAATAGGCCTATCCACAGGGCCCCAAGAGCCCCTAAATCATGTGATTTTCCTGCGGGAAACGCGCATTTTCAGCCCATACGATTTTCGGCTTTCACGGCGTTGACGACGGCCCCATAGGTCCCTAATGTAGCCCCAAGACGGCCCCAGAGGCTCCCAAGAGGCCTTTAGGACGGCCCGAGGGGGTCCCAAGACGGCCCACGAGGCGCCCACGAGGGCCCAAGAGAGCCCCAAGGCGGCCCCATGAGGGACACAGGAGGGGGACAACGAACCGAAAATTCCGGGATTCCGCCCGAACACTCAATTCCCAGGAGGCCCCAAGAGACTCCCAAGAAGCCCCAAGAGGCCACCAAGGGGCCCCAAGAGGCCGACAAAGCCGGCCCCGAGATGCTTCGAAACTGTTTCCAAGAGGCAGGATGGGCCGAAGGCCCCTAGATAATCCGGAGGGGCCAGGAGGAGGTCCATCTGATGACGATATTTGTAATATTACCTGACTGCACCATCTTCCTGCTCGTCTTCTTCCCCTCGTTGCCTGCACCTCCTCGTCCTCTTCGGTCTTTCACAGGTTTCCCGCCCATGTTTTTCAAAGGTACGCGATAATCGGTGGCCGACGGCGACGACGGAACGCCCCAACATGGGCGACGACGACGACGGAACGCCTCAAGCAGGCCCCCCCAAGACATTCCCACAATTCATGTTCCCAGCAGTCCTTGCGGGAACATGACTCATCGGGCTCCCCACATGGTTCCTCAAGAGGCGACGACGACGACGACGGCGGACCGGCCCAAGCAGCCCCCAAAGACATTCCCAAAGATCATGCTCCCAGAAATCTTTGTGGGAACATGATCCATCAGGCCCCAGGCATGGCCGACGCCAATGACGGGACAAGAGGGCGCCAAGATAGCCCAAGAGCGCTCCAAGAGAGCCCGAGACCGCACAAGAGCGTTTCAACATTAGTCAAATATGGCTTGAAGATGGCCCAAGAGGGCTTCAAGACGGCAAATATGCTTTCAAAAGGACTCCCACGAGGCACTCAGGAGGCGAACGAAGTGTTATTTTCGATGGTTTCTGAAGGTTTTTCGTGTTCTCGCTGTTACGTGCTTCCGATTGTCTAAGACAGCCCACGAGGCCCCAGAAATCAGCTCAACGCGGCCCAAGAGGCACCAAAGGAGGGCGCCACGACGGCGCAAGAGAGCCCCAAGACGGCCCAAGAGCGCCCCAAGACGGCCCACGAGGCGCCCAAGATCGCCCAAGAGGGCCCCAAGACGGCCCCAAGTTGGGCTCAAGAGGGGGAACATGAACCGACAATTCGAGCCTTCCGCCCCAAGAGGCCTCCACGAGGCCCCCAGAGGCCCCCAACAGAGCCCCAGAGGCCCCCTAGATGCCCCACGAGGCCCCAAAGAGGACCCCAAACGGCCCCTAAAAGACCTTCAAAACATACCGGTGCATAGGAAAGGACCGCCTAGCCTATCGTGGCGCCGCAGCGTTGCATGACATGGCATGGCACAGCACAGCACGACATAGCTAAATGTGTCAGTGCATATCACAGTATGGTTCAGTATGCCGTAGTAACGCATTCCATAGCAGTGTCTAGCTGAGCCTACCACTGCACGTCACGACGTAACATTGCCCAGCATGGCATTGCATCTCATGACGCATCGTGGCGTACTATGGCATTCCAATGCGTATACATTAACCGAACAGCACCGTACTGCTCTTCGCAATAATAAACCGAAAGCATGCAAATATCACACCCCCGTTGTTGCTCTTACTGTCGTCCTGTTTAGTTTAGCCTAGCAGTTCATAACATGGCATAGCATTGCATTGCATTGCATAGCACGGTATGCCGTGTCTGTGCTTACCATGCAATGCAGTAGCATCGTTCTTCACAGGAAACATGAAATGAGATGGCTCAGCGTATCATCCAACATATCACCATAACATTTCACAGCACAGAATGGCATGGCATGCAATGCGCACTGTACGGTATATCATGCGATTGCATTGCATACTGCATAGTGGCATTGCGTTTTATAGCGTAGCATGGTGTATCATGGCGTTCCATAGCATAGTGTAACGTGGCGCTGTTGCGCTGCATTTTTCCTGGCCCATAGCTTGGCGACAGATCATTGGTCGACCGGTCGACGAGAGGAGGAGGAATGAGGAAGAGGCAGGAGGAAACAGAGCATGTTGACGTGCACCTGCATGTCAGGGGTAAATCGACCAGCAGGGCCCAGGCCACGCCAGTGGGGATAGGGATCGGTTGAACGATGCTCAGTTTGCCTCCTGCTGCTCCTCGAGCCGACGGTCGGGGAACGCGTTGTCGGAGCGCGCCCCGCGGGCTCGGAGGAGCAATGCTTTGTGTTGGCGAGAGATCACCAGTCGACCGGTTAAGCGCGCGCGAAGCGCATGCGTGGTTCTAGGGTCCCCGGGCCCCCAAAGTGCACTGATGTGTGTTCCGGCCGTTTCGGGCCCGGCGAGGGGCGCCAAAAAACGTCAAAGGGGGCCGAGAGACGTCCCAAGAGGGCGCCAAGATGGCCCAAGAGCGCTCCAAGAGCCCAAGACCTCACAAGAGCGTTTCAACATTTGTCCAAGAGGCCTCCAAGAGGGCCAAAGAGAGCTCCGAGAGACGTCCCGAGAGAGCCCAAAGAAGCCCAAATCATTGATTTGCATTGGTTCGTTCGATGTTTTTCGCTTTCTCGCGTTCTCGAGCTTCCAATGCTCGAAGACGGCCGAAGACGCCCCCAAGACCGCCCCAAGACAACCGAAGACGCCTCAAAAGAGCCCCAAAACGGCTCCAGAGAGCCTCCAAATTGCCCACGAGGAGCCCCAGACCGCCCAAGAGGCCCCAGGACAGGCCCAAGATGGGCCACTGAGCGGGAGCGGGAGGCCCCACGGCGCTCGAAGATGGCCCAGATGGCCCGGGCCTCCCCCTTCCGTCCCTCCTTCCCTCCCGCCCCCTCCCCTTGCCTCCATTACCTCCTCTTTCCTTTTCTTCCCCTCACCCCTCAGCTTCCGTGCTTTTCCCCCCTCTCTTGGGACGGCCCCGCCAGAGCGCCAGACAGGCCCCGCCGGAGCGAGCGGGGCGTCGCTATACCCTATCATTTCACAAGTTGCTTTGCCCCTCCCACCCCTCAAGGGCGGCCCCGGTAGAGCGAGGGGGGCGTTACTATACCATATACAGTCCTTGTTATGTTTTGCTCCTCCCACCGCATCCGACGTAGCCCCGTTAGAGCGCACGGGATGTGGCTATACCATAATTTTCCTCAGGTGCCGTGCTCCTCCCTCCCCTCCTGGGCAAGCCGCCCCGCCAGAGCGCCAGGGAACCCCCCGCCAGCGAGAGCAGGGCATCCCTGCACCATACTCTTTCACACGATGTTTGCTTCTCCCACCCTTGCAGGGCGGACCCGCCCGAGCGAGCGGGGTGTGGTTATACTGTACAATAGTTTAGGTTCCGTGCCCTTCCCTCACCTCCTGGAAGGCCTCGCCAGAGCGCCAAGAGGGTACCGCCAGAGGCCCTGCCAGAGCTCCAGGCAACCCCATACATGGGACTTGCCAGGCAAATCATTCAGCAACCCCCGTGAGCCCGAACCTTTTGCTCCCACGGGTGCGATTATCGCAGGCATGAGGTGTGGCGTCCAGCACACTGGAGCTTCCCCATTCTCGTGGACAGATTCGACAACAACTGATTGCAGAGAAGGGCGCTGATGACCGAGGCATATGCGCGTGCCCTCTGCAGTTACCCGATAGCTGAACGATCGCTGTGAACGAGAAGCCTGGAGCACAAGGAGGAGGGAACATAAACAACGCCCTCCCACGCACGCGCAGCGAGGCCCCGAGCCAACCCCAACACGAGAAGCCGGCGGATGTCTGCGTGATCGGGCATGGGGAGACCGAGCATATGCGCAAAAACATTGAGCGTCGCGACTGGGCAGAGCGGAAGTGAAAGTGTAGAAAAAAACGCAGTTCGATAAACCAAGCAAAGGCGGCCACGAGATTGCGAGGTGCGCGGGAACGTGGCGCCCCGCGTTATGACTACGCGTTTCTTTGCGACTACGGCATGGGCCCGAGAACGCTGGAAGTCGTCGTTGTAGCCACAGCGGGGCTTACAACGGCACCCGTGGCTCGTTTGCGAGTCGAACGTCAGCGCACGCAGCGCGCGTGGTTCTAATGTGTAAATTGATATATATATATATATGTGCATATATAGATGTGCATGTATATACATGCATACACACATACGTACATACATACATATCTAAACGTGTGTATATACATTTTTATATATACGTATGTATATATATATATATATATATATATATATCGGCCCATCTATATATATCTATATAGGTGTGTGAGCACGGTTCTAAAATAGCGAATGTGGGGATCTGGCGATGCGGCATACTCGTATGTAATTTGCAATGACCCAGGGGTGGCCGATAATCCTGGGGGCAGCGGTGGGTGGAGCCCTTCAGCTGCCTGCAGCAAACCCCGCCACCGCGCGTGCGCAACAGCGCAACAGTCAGGATACGGATAGTAGGAGCAACGCAAATCCGACAACTGGTATGACCAAAAGCGGATCGTGAACTCGACTTCGTTTTCGTCCGAGGAATAGGAAGGAGGTCGATTTCACACCCCGCGACAGTTCAGCGAGTGGTCTGAACTGGGGGCGGCCGTGATCCAGACATCGTCTTCGTCCGCGCGGTATGGAAGAAGAGGAGGAGGGGGAGGACGGGGAGGAGGAGGAGGAGGAGGAGGAGGAGGAGGAGGAGGAGGAGGAGGAGGATAAAAAGGAGGAGGATAAAAAAGGAGGAGGAGGAGGAGGAGGAAAAGGAGGAGGAATACCTGTCCCTCCTGCCCCGCGCTGGCGGCGGAGTCGGGCTCCAGGGCCTCGCGCTCTTGGAGGCTGCCCGCTTTTGTGGGGGCTTGGCTGGCGTGCAGCGAGCTCGGATTGCCCAGCCTCGAAGCCTTCCAACAGACGTGCCCGACTGCCCGGGGGGTAGCCGAGGGCGCGGGACGCACGCCCTTGGTGCGCGGCACGGACTGGCTCTGCGCAGCAAGGCCAAGGCGCCGCGCGCCGGCAGCGGCTCCCAGGCACTTTGCCGCCGACCCAGCCAGCGCAGCTCCGCTCGGCAGGCGGGAAAGGCGCGCGAAACTGGCTCCTGCCGTTGACGGAGGAGAGCCATTGGCTGGCGGACGCGCACTTCCTCCCCGCCCTGGGGCTGCGCCTGCAGCTGCCCCTGCCCGCGGCCGCCACCGCGCCTTGCTTCTGGCGCCGGGAAGACGGCGCGCGCTGCGGGGTCGGCCTGGTAACGACGCCAGGGCACTACTGCCACGTCGGCGGTGGCACTACCCATCGCCACGACGGCGTCAGGGTCTGGCTCGGCGGCTGGCTGCGCGCCCCAGGCGCGACGGACGTGGACACGAAACAATTCGCGCCCGCCTGGGACAGGGCGCGCGCGGATGACACTGTCGAGGCAGCCCGCCTCGACGTGGCCTTGACCGACCCCGCGGCTGGCACGACCCCCGACCTACGTCGATGTGGAGGTCACGGACGCCGCGCTCTTGGCGCGGACGCGCCGGCGGGCCGGGACCGCGCTGCCCGCGACGGCGCAGCCGCGACGGCCTGGGAGGAGCGCAAGCACCGATGTCGCCGAGCCGAGCTCTGACTGCCTTCGCGCTCGAGGCCGTCGGGCTCGCCAGGCTGGAAGCGCAGGCGTTCCTCTGCACCTGGGCGCGCGGCGACACCGCCGTGCTGGCGGCGGCGCGTCAGGCCATGGCGCCGACGCAGCGCGGCAACGCGGAGCCTTACCGCTCCGCTCGCCTCGCCTCGCGCGGCGCGGCGCGCCGCAGGACTGGCGGCGGCGGAGGCGAGCCCGCTGCCTGCCGCGCGCGCGCGCGCGAGCTGAGCCAGGGCGCGCGCCCAGCGGCTGGCTTGGCCGGCTGGCCGCAGGAACGCGCGCGTTCAGCGCGGGGCGCTGCGCGGCTGGCAAGCGGGCCGCGGGGCGCAGGGCGCGCCAGCAGGGGCCGGCAGCAGGCGGCTGGGCGCAGGGCGCCGGCGCGCGCTGGCGGCGGCCGGGCGGCGCTGGCGGTCGGGCGGGCTCGCGCGGGGGGCGGCGCCGGAGAACCGTTGCGCGGCGCCGCTGGCCGGCTTGCGCGCGCGCGCCAGGCGCTTGTTGGCAGGCCGCCGCGCAGCAGCCACGGCGTTGCCGCAGGTGCGAGGGCGGCCGGGGCGCAGCTGAGCCGGGTACGTTGCTCCCCCCAGCCAGGGCCGGTCGGCCCTGGAGAGATGATCGAACTAGGAACCAGGCGATTCTTCAGGAGGAGGAGCACGAACACGAGTGCGTTCACGAGCTTGAGCACGAGCACGAGCACGAACGCGAGCACGAGGAGGAGCGGAGGAGCAGAGGAGTAGGAGGAGGGGCAGGAGGAGCAAGTGGAACGATCGCTCCAAGAATCACTGGCTGGCGGCGAATCCTGGTTGGAAGCAGCAGGACTGCATCATTTGCGTCCCTCCCCTCCTCGTTCGCGTCGCTGCATTCGGTTTCGCCCTTGTCGTCGGTGGCAGCCCTTTTCTTTTTCTGCCTGGATCTGCGCGGGCGCGGGAGCGCTTGCGAGGCCACCCCAGCACCCTACAGTCTCTTCACAGTCGGGCCTGCCTGAATGCCCCAGCCGGCCCGAGGTCGCACGTCGACTTCCGCAGAAAGTGCCGCGATTTTGTCGAAACGGAGATCAAGCCGTACCTGGACGGGTGGATAGAACGGCGCGAGGCCACGGAGAAGAGGGAGGGCGAGAGGGAACAGCGGGGAGGAGGAGGGGGCTGCACGAGGAGGATGGGGTAGGAGGAGGAGGGAATCGACGAAGGAACGAGGGGAGGGGGAGGAGGGCAAAATGGGGAGGGAATCAAGAGGGGGGGGGCAGACAGGACATTGGAAAAGAAAAGGGGAGTTCAGTGGCGAGGAAAGGAGGAGGAGGAGGAGGAGGAGGAGGAGGAGGAGGAGGAGGAGGAGGAGGAGAAGACGGAGGAGGAGGAGGAGGAGGAGGAGGAGGAGGAGGAGGAGAGGGGAGGACGGGGAGGTCCCCGTCTCTTGCTATTCCGCCTAGTTTTGCGAACCATTTTCAGGGTGGAAGGTGAGGAGGAGGAGGAGGAGGAGGAAAACCAGTGTAAACCCAAGAGGCACCAACGATTTTGGAAGAAACCTTCCCCCCAAACTCCCCTATCATAGGCCCCATACAACGGTTCATTTCCATCGAGGGACTTGCATCGTTGGAAGACCACCGTTCGAAGACCTAGAAGCATGCCAAAACATTGTTCTCGGGATTCCAACGCCACGGATAAACTTGACTGTTGCGTCTAGATGATCCCGAATCGTGCCAGAACGCCATACTTGGGACTCCAGCATTTCGCATCATCGTAACTGTTGCACCCTCATAAACGTAAAAACGTCCACAAAATTATTTCTGGTGCGTCCATCATGGGAAGCCGCGAGTCTTTTGCAGTATTATACAAAGAAGACTGTGCGCGGGTCAAAGGCGAGAGCCCTCAATCCGTCCTGCGAAGCTCTTGCCACTTGTTACAACGAATATGCGCGGCGCTAAGGCGAGAACCACATTTTGAAAACGACCCGCCCTCAATCTGTGGAAGAAGGAGGGGGGAGGACGACGACGATGACGACGTCGACGAGGACGACACAGATCCCCAAAGTCGTGGTTTTGTCAAAACGTGGACCCGCTGAGATCTCGACCCCTTCTCTGGGACATGTTTCTCATCCTGTAAGGGCCTTCAGGTTTTGAGGAAACAGTGAGAAGTTGTCCGATGATATTCTTGGTGCGGCGTGAGATTGTCTGGGGAGGGAGGAGGGAGGAGGGAGGAAGATACCCCCTTCCTGCCTCCCGGCCTTCGGGCTCAATTTTGGTATGATCAAGCCGACTCGATATTGATGTCGGCCGGTTCGATCCGATTCGATTTCGATATTCCGACGCTCCGATGGGTTCCGATATTGGCACGGCGTTTTTTGTTCATCCTGGCGCATCCGATGCAGCCCGATTCTTGGAACGGGGAAGGGGGTCCTGAGGAAAACGTGTCCTGGACCCTGTTGTTTTCACCCAAGGACCAGATCCTCATCCAGAGTCGCTTTTCAACAATCCCGGGGCCCGTGGAGGGCCCCGGGAGACCAAAAATTTAGAAACACTTTAGGAGGGCCCCGTGGAGACCAAAAAATCCCGGCGCCCGTGGAGGGCCCAGGGACACCAAACAACGTTTCCCTCCCACGCGTAGAGGGGAGGGGGGGAGGGCAGTTTCTTAGGAGGCTGCTCGGAAGAAGCCTTCCCACCTACCCCTGCCCCCTCTGCGCGCCGCCGAGATCCAAGAGCGAAAGAAGGACGCACGTGTACATGAATCCACGTTGGTATCGAGAGTACGAATTGCGCGAACGTTCGCATCACGCGGCTGCTCTCGCGGACTGGGGGGGGGGGCGTGTTCACGTACGTGACGTTGGGCGGGTACGTTTTTTGTGGCTTCTCTACATCGGGAAAGAAGAGTGACGTGACTATAAAAACTCGGAGGTCCGCGCGGATTTCTGGGATCAGAGCTGGACCCCCCTCCCTGGCGCGCGGAGCGCGCCAGGGGCGGCGCCGGAGGCGCCGCCAGGGGGCTGGGGAAGCTCCCGAACGAAGTGAACCCCACCCTCCCCCTCTGAAATCGTGTGGGGTTGGGGTAGGGCTCGCATGTGGCCCCCTAAAGTATCTCACTCGGCCTCGCTCGGACGCGTGGATTTTCTGCTGGCCTGGGCCATCGAGGAACATCCTTCGGTCATCTTGCGGGGAGTGAGCGCACGCAGCCCGAAGATTCACGGGGAATGGACGTCCGAGCGATGGCGGGCTCAGCATGATCGGTTGCAGCTCCTCGCACCGGTCGTTCTCCCCATGCGCTGCGGACAGGCACGGGGTACACCCCCGCAAGCCACGTGCGGTGAGCTGGCCGGGGTTGCCTCCGCGCAAGGCCGCGGCAGGTGTTGCGCCCGGCCAGGATCGGGACGATCGAGATGGGTGCAGTGGAAGCCCATGCCAAGAAGCACCCTGCTTGCCTCCAGGGTGCCCAGGGTTTCTTGGGTTTCGATTGTTTTCCTGCACAACGCGTGACGTTCCCATTCCAAAAAACGACGGACATCCTGGGGGCGCATGGTTGGGTTTTCTAGTGGAATGTTTCTTGTGGTCGAGCTACTACTGTATGGAAAGAATGGGCGCGATGCCCAACAGCTTTTCCTGCTCATTGTGAACAGGACCCGCTGTCCGAACTGTCCGCGCCGCCGCGGTCGACCTTCTCTGAAGGCATCCGCCCGCCTACCCAACAGCGGTCGCTGATGGTGCTGGAGAACAGCTGTTGCTGGGCATTGCACAGTCGGGGCGCGTTGGCTACCCAACAGCGGTCGCTGATGGTGCTGGAGAACAGCTGTTGCTGGGCATTTCACAGTCGGGGCGCGTTGGCAGGTCGACCCTGCAAAATCTAACGTACTCGTGTGTCGTGTCCATCCCTTCTCATGTCCTCTGCGTGCTCGGGCTCAGGGTACCCTATGCCCCGTCGCTGTTGGAGGCCGTGCTGCCGTCGGAAGAGTCTCGTGTCCCGTCGCGTGCCCTCTCGCGTGCGCTCCGACGGTACCCATTTCTGTCCGCACGCACTTCGGACGTCCACACAGGAGCTTGCCCCCCGCCCCTCGTCGAGCTCGTCCGAGCTCCCACCGTTCAGGAGCGACAGCAGGACGTGCACGTAGATGAGCCCACGCTGGTTTCGAGAGCACGCACTGCGCAGATGTTCGTATGACGCGGCCGGTCTCGCGCATCGAGGGGCCGTGTTCGTGCACAGAGCTGGGCGCGCACGTCCTCTGTAAGCTCCCTGACCGTCCTCGAGGCCGTCGCCCTCGGCCGCCCCCCCCCGCGCGCCGCGCGGCCCTGGCCGGCCGAGCTCGCCGCGCGCCGGTGCACGGGCTGCCTCCGCCGCTCGTGCATCGCAGGGGGGTCGGCCTCAACGGCGCTCATCCGCCTCCGCCTTCTCCTCCGCCTTCTCCTCCTCCTCCTCCTCCTCCTCCTCCTCTTCCTCCTCCTCCTCCTCCTCCTCCGCCTTCTGCTCCTCCTCCTCCTCCTCCTCCTCCTCCTCCTCCTCCTCCTCCTCCTCTTCTGTCGATTTCGTGGGCCGTTGTTTCGCTTCGATGCCGTGCTGCAGGAAAGGCGGAGGGATGGCGAAGCGAGGGACTACGGGGACCAAACGAGAACGAAAAACACTGTTCAGGGCGATCCCTTGTTCAGGTGATCGTTTTTTAAAGCACTGTTCTGCCGATGGGCGCGGGCTCCAAAACCCTCCCTCCTCCCCTCCCCCATGGAGTAGATCTTGGCTGTTTCTTGGGCGCCTGCTTCGAGCGGGTGGAGCCTCCCCCAGAGGCAGCACTCTTGCAAACAGTCGCACTAAGCAGAGGTCTGGAGCCAGCCCCCCCCCCCTCCCCCCCTTTTTCCCCCCAATGTCGAAACGCCGAATAAAAAAACGCTCACGTAGCAGCCCACCAGCCCGCCGATCATCACCACCACAGACCTGCGCCCGAGGGCGCGGGAGCGGTCTCCGCGGACGGACGGACGGACGGGAGATGTGCGGACGCCTCGGGGTAAGCTGAGGTCGTGGCCTGGGCCCGCTGTCGGAACGCCGGATAAAAAGAAAACAGCCACCAGCGAAGACGGCGGCGGGGGTCCGCCGATCCTGGGATCCTGGGGCCAAGCCTGCACGCCCCAGCGGGGCCGGAGGTCGTCGAGGCTCGCGCCCAGGTCGCCCTCCTCCTCCTCCTCCTCCTCCTCCTCCTACTCCTCCTCCTCCTCCTCCTCCTCCTCCTCCTCCTCCTCCTCCTCCTCCTCCTCCTCCTCCTCCTCTCCCTCCCCCCCCTCCGCGATTTCTTCGTGGTCTCGAAGTCCCTCCTCGACAGCAAGATCGAGGTAGCCGTCTCGCAGGAGATCGTCTGCTCACCGCATCGGGCAGTGGTCCTGCGGCTGGGGCGCTCGGCGAGGCCGCCTATGGTGCTGCAGCTGGACAAGCCCCAGCGATGGCCGCTCGAGCTGCCCATCTGCTGCCCGGGGCCGCCTGGCAGCTGGCCTCGACCGTTGGTACGGCGAGGCGAATACACGCAGGATGACATCGACACCTACTGGCGCGAGGTCTCGGCCGCCTTCGAGCATGACCTCAACAGGTACCACTGCTTCGAAGGTAAGGACCTCGACTCCCGCACGGGCCACTTTCGCGGGCCCGTGTACACGTGGCGGGAGCTGCCTGCGCCGCCGCTTCCGGTGGACTCCCTGACGCAGCGGGAGGCGCGAGGCATGACGTGGCTCTCGCAGCAGCTGCGCAGCCTGGCCACGCTGGCCATGCACATCGGCGAGAAGGGCCCCACCAGGGCCCTCCAGGATCGGTACAACAGCGTCACCAGACGCCTCACCACCCACGCCGTGGTGCTGCCCATCCTGGAGGCCGCCGAGGGCCAGAGCCAACACGGCAACGTCAGCGGCGATGGTCTCGGTGACCCCCCCGGGCCGTCTGCGGGCAGGGGCCGCCGCGGGCCCATTTTGCCCCCATGGTCTGACGGGGAAACCGGCTGGTGCCGTCAGACCAGGCAGGGAATTCTGCCCCATCTGGCGAGAGTCGTGGTGGCGCCCCTGGGGCCGCCGAGGAGGGCACCGATTGGGGCAGCATCATCGCCGCCCTCAGCGACATCAGGGCCATGGAGGTCTCCAGCGA